CACACCGGAATCATCCTCAGATGGGCGGCTAATACCGCTAATATCTTTGTGAATACCCATGGCGCCGAGGAAAGGCCAAACGGGAGCGCTTTCTATTGAAAATGCCGATGCGCGTGACAAAACCTGAGGAATTTGCGGTGCTTGGGGAGGATCGGAACATGAAGATAAGTCTGTTAAATCTATGGAGGATAGAAAATCCCCCCTTCTGATGCTGGCAAGAATGGACTTGAGAGTCTGCATCTTGAACCTTTTGTAGGTTAAGAAGTGGTTTAGGCCCTTCAAGTCCAATATCGCCCTCCAACCCCCCGAGGCCTTTGGCACCATGAACAGGATGGAGTAAAACCCCTGTCCCTTCTGTTTGGTGGGCACTGGCTCGATGGCCTGTATTTCTAGAAGATGGGAGATGGCCATGGACATGAGTTCTGCTTTGGTGGCGTTTCTTATATTGGGACAAGCTAGGAAGCGCCCTGGAGGTACTGATAAGAACTCCAGGGCAAGGCCATGACGGATGGTATCTATGACCCACGAGTCTATGGTGGTGGTCTCCCAAGTGTCGCTGAACAGAGCCAGACAACCTCCTATGGGAGAGAACTCCCTGGAGTCATTTGTTCCGTCCATACGGACGGCCTCCGGACCCTCAAAAGGGCCGGTTGGTTTGGTACTGGGAACGGGCTCTGGGGTTTTGGCGATTCTGTTGGAGATCCTGCCTAGGGGGAAAGGTTCGTGCAGTACAGGACCAATCCCAGGACGGTGCGGCCCGAAAGGGCTGTCTCCAGTCCCAGGCGGCCCCAGCACGAAAGGACTGCCTTCAGAATCTTGTTGTGGCTTCCTGTCTGCCCTCCTGGAAGGATGTGCAAGCACCTTGCGCTTATCTTTTCCCTCCACCAGATATGGTTCGAGAACTGGGCTGAAAAAGTGAGTGCCGCTATAAGGGGTGGTTGCCAAGTGCCACTTGGACTTCAGGTCAGCCCATCACTGCTTTAGCCATAGAAGTCTACGAGACGAGACTGTGGCTGCAATTGATCTGGCTGAATACCTGGCAGAATGTAGAGATGCATCTGCCACATATTCTGACGCTGCGATCAATTTGCCTAACGTCTGGTGTGCATGCACCTGGTCCAGGAGGGATAAGTGCCTGAAGCTCGCGGAGCCACATGATAGACGATCTGGCGAAAAAAGAAGATGATGTCGCCGCCCTGACTGACATGACGAGGCCTGATGAGCCCTGCGGAGAGCAAATTCGAATCTCTTTTCCTCCACCTTCAGGGCCTCTGCCATATCTCCTGGGATGGTGGAGGTAGAGAACAAAGAGGTTAGAGGAGTGTCCACAAGCGGCACCTCCAGGAGGGAAGAGAAAGAAGAAGAAACGTTGAATAGTTTTTTCTCCATCCTGCTAGGATTGGGGAGAGTGCCTAGTGAAGCCCATTGCTTTTCCATCGTAGTGCGGAAGAAATGCGGGCATGGAATCTGTTTTTCCTCGATCACTGGCTCAGAGAACAGAGGATTCGATTCCTGAGGATCAGTGGCTGTCGGCTTAGGATCCTGTTTGGGAGTGATGTTGGCCGACGTACAGGCCTTCAACAAAAGTGACCTGAATAGGGAAGGATCAAATAAACCAGAAGTAGGGAACGGATCCGGAGCCGTCTCCTCATCTTCGGACATGGGCAAGTCCGAAGTTTTGAAGCTCAAAGAATCCTCCTCTCCCACCTGAGAAGATGTGTCTGAATTGCCCAACCTGGGGAACAGGGCGGGCCCTGCCTGAGGCAGAGGTGGGGGGGGGCGGAGGCATCTGTAAAGGCCGCTGACTCATGGCAGAGGCCATGTATTGTGAGAAGGCTTGGTTCATAAATGCCTGAAATTGATCCTGCCACACTCCCTGTTGTTCTGATGGGCGGAGGCCAGCAGCCGTAGGTATAAATGTGGCTTCCGGGCCCTGGTGAGTTGAAGGGGATGAGGAAACCCCTTGAGTGTCTGCAAGAGATGAAGGAGGGGGATCAACCTGTCCAGTTTCCCCCTGAGGAGACCATACTCTATGGGCATAGCTGGGAGGCACAAATTGAGGCTCAAATGGTGAGGGGTCCACTGGAAGTGAGTCTTTGTACTCTGGAGAACTCCTTCTCCAACGCCTGATGTCTCCTCGAGGCTTCTTGGTGGGCAAGGCCTTTGCCTTAGATTTCCCCCCCCCCCGCTGCTTCCGAATTGGAGGATCTGCGCTTTTCTTCTGCTGGGGGGGGGGGGGCAGAAGAGCCCTGCAATGGCTGAGGAGTTGCACTATCTGCCATTGTCACCTGGATATTCCGACTAGGAGATATACAAGCAAGGGCAGAGAAAACAATGCAGATCTGGTTGTCAGAGAAGGAAATCCCAGGCTCTGAACAATAGCAATGGCAAACAGCCAGATAGACACCTAGGACAATTTGTTAGACCCTTGTGACACAGCACCATACATCTAGATGGAACAGGTAGTACAAATAATCCCCCCTCCTTGTGAATGGGTGCAATGAGCAAAGATTCAAATCTCTGAGGCAAAACCTGATTGCAAAAATGTATTCTGGCCTGATACTCAGGTCTGAAGAGCCTGAGAAGCCTTGACCGGTCTGATGGATTGACCACTAAAGGCCAGAGACCTGACAACAATTTTGTAGATAGGCCACGATACAAAGTAGAAACCAAAATGGCAGCCACCTCAGATCTTCAGTCCTGACTTGAGCACATTGATGAAATTAGCCCTATGTAATAGGCCTGGAATCAAATATCTGAGAAGCCCAGTGTGATAAATTTACCCCCCCAGTCCATGCCTGTCACAGCAGGATAAGGAGATAGCCAGAGAAGGGAAGAATTCCCCTTTGCTGAGGACTCCACGAGGCTCTCAAAATGGCGGCTACACCAAATTAATGGTCATTAAAGACGCGGCCTGCTTCCCCAAACTTAAAAAATTCTGAGGGAAAACGCAGTTGAATTTAGGTCCCTGCCTCTGTAGGCGAAATTAAATGACTTGCAATTCGTTGTTAGGCTGCTTCAATCCAAACCACGAGTGAAACCATCGATGGCCTTGCGGCAATGGTGCGCCCCTGCAAGGCTGTCCGGACTGCAAGGAAGTTCTCCGTGCCCACGCGGCGATGGCGCGCTCCGGAAAGCCGTCCAGCCTCCGAAAATGAACTCCACATGGAGTATCAGGCTTTGGGCAGCTGCCTCGAGCCTCTTGAAAGGTCTGCCTCCAATATGAGGCTGGAACAGCTCAAGGCCAGAAACGGCCCAGGTGGAGCCTGGAAGGCTCACTGGCCCCAGACAGAATTCCTTGCTGTCTTGCTATCAATTTTAAATTTGTTTAGAATGGAGACTAAGACCAATTTGTAGCCAAATTAAGTAAGAAATTTGAAGAAATGTATATAAAACTGTTTTCAACTAATCTAATTTCAGAGGAGCCAAAGGAATTGCATCCTGCTGAGCGAAGACTGAGTCAAAAAACTGGGGAAGGTCCAACCCCCAAGGAGGCGTGGCAAGTTTCTGACTTAGTCTCAACTGAGCAGGAAGGCTGAGATTACCCATCAGTGGATTCTACACTCATCATGCTGGAGAATTATTATTAAACATTGACTGTGATTAATTTTTCATCTCAGCAGTTCTTCTCATTTTAGGAATAAAATGAATAATTAGGATGTATATATGCCTATATCATATCAGTACTGATAGTCTGTATATACCTGAATCTGATCCACTTTCTCCAACCACAAACATGTAACTCAAATTTTATGTAAAAAAAAAAATTAAATTCTGCAACCATCATAATAGATAAGGTAGTTCATAATTATTTTCCCTAGTACTTTAACCAAAGGGAAAAATCAATAAGTTCATTAGGGAACCTAAAGGATTTTCCTTTAACTATGGAAAATAAATAAAATTTAAGATTTTCTCAGTATACTATTTTTTGAGACCAATATCAAGGTTTTTTTTTTTCCATTTAGGCATACATTGAGGTTCAGCCTTCACCAGTTCTGGTTACCTACCAAGCAGCCTGTGAAATGGGAAGAAAACAAGCATTTGCTTCCTTAAAAAATTAAGAACAATCCTCAAACTTTTACACAAACGTACAGTGGCTCCCTTACCTCCTGTCCTGAGAGGTAATAAGCTGCAAGCAAGCCACCAATGAAACGAATGTTGACTTCAAAGACAGATACCTCTGAGTTCTTGAAACAGATAAGAAGACAGATTCTTTAGGTATAAACTAAATACTAATACACTGCATTTACATTTCACGTGCATCCTTACAGCAAATAAACGGAGGATTTCTGCTTCTACCTTAGACAAATTGTAATTACTCTTTATAGCAGTTCTTTGGGATAGTAAGCCACTGTTGCTACTAGTAACAGTGAAAATTAATTATCTTGAGTTTGGATGCAATGCTAAATTGGGATTAATTAAAGCTGGATGTGAAAACTTTTAATACAACTTTTAAATGGATCAAATATAAAGACTGGGGATTAAGAAAACTCTTACGTGATTTCTGGTTTTTAAAAAAATATGATTCCTGAAAAACATGAGCATAGCTGAAACAAAACCAGTACAAGCTAACTAAATTTACATTTTAATACTTGATGTGACTAAAACAATGATACTTAATTACGCAAAATATCACTGGACATTTCAAAAGCAGTCTTATAAAAATGAGTGCAAAAGAAAAAAGTACTAGCACAACACAAATAAGTGCTTGCAAATTAACAGGAACATCAATTCACTCTTTAAAAAATGCAATAAAACATGTGCTTGAAGTTTTACAAAGCTTTCATGTCCACTATCACAAATCATTTTTAAACACTGGTAGAATAAAATTTTAAGTTATTCCAAATAATAATGTTGTAAAATACATTTTCTTACCACACTAAAATCAAGATGATTCTCAATCCATTCCTGTCCTTCTCTGAATTCATCATGAAGGCCCATTATATAGAGGGTATCCAAAGCATCTACTATGCTTGCTCCCAACTGGGAATTGCCTACAATCAAAATCCAGTATTTCCATGATAAATATATCATTTATAGATACCCTTTCCAGATCCATTACCCACTTATCAATTGAAACAATACTTCATAAACATTTAATGCCCTTATTTAGAAATCAAATAAAGATTAGAATAAGAATACAGAAATAATTAAAACAGCACTTTTATGAAAATAAACATTCACCAACATTTACAATATAGGGCTGGTCTCAAGGTTACCAGTTCCGGATTACAAAAGTCTGGATGTTTATCTCAGAGCAAAGAGTTGTTTCTGATAATTATCTGTTGCAACCAGTTGAGTCCGGGTTTTTTTTAGGCCAGATATGGTCTGATATCACCAAATAACTACCAAAGGTATTCCTCACTTAACAATCATTCACTCAGCAATGATTCAATGTTGCCACAGCATTGAACAAATGGAATTTACAACATTATTTATTTGTATCCCGAATCAAGAAATTACAGGTTCTTTAAAAAAAAACATTTGTATCCTGCTTTTATTACTTTTACAAATAATACAAGGTAGTGAACATATCCAACACCACCTTTCTATTTTCCCCACAACAACCCTGTGAGGTGAGTTCAGCTGAGAATGTATGACTGATCCAAGGTCACCCAACTGGCTTTCATAGGTATGGTGGCACTTGAATTCATGAACTCCTGCTTTCTAAGACTAGAACTCAGTCTCCCAGTTTCTAATTTGATGCCTCAATGACTACATCAAACTGCCACTCCTGTTATTCCTCCAGTACTTTCTGTACAGGATCTTAGTTCACAATCAATATGTGTAGAACTGTTTCTATTACAAGCTGAAAATGCAACTGTCAATTGTAGTTTAATGTCATTTGAGCAATGTCGTTGACAGAGAGATTTAAATTGAAGGACTCAGTTATGAGCATTGTGGTTTGTATAATGATAAAAATGATTATGTGTAAACCATGAAGTATTTTTAGAATATCAAAAATAAACATCTCTGTTTCAATTGCTTACCAACTGAAACAATTCTCAAACCTTCGTGGAACCAAAAGCTTTCTTTAGGCCAGATTAACTGAAAACAATTTGAAGAAGTAACAGGAAATAATATTAACTACATACATAATCAACATTCTAGAAGATTCATCAGAACTAGAGAATGGGAAACCTGGAGAGAGAATTGAAAGTTATACAGAACTCATAGAAAGAAATACCATAACTCTCAGGCCTATTCAGGATTTGCTCCAACCCAGCACTGGAATATAATTCTGAGAATTTACCAAATTTGAGCCTGGACCTCAAGCTGTAAAAAAAAAAAAAAAAACCCTACCATAAATAACAAACCTACCATAAATATTTCCTTATTTAATTTGTATTAAGATATTCAAAATTTAAATATTTGTCTTTTTTATTTACAATCACTGCTGTTTTTTTCTATTCATCTTCCTAAACCCTTTAGTTATTCCTTTGCTTTTTCTATTTTTTGCTTATTATGTATTAAACTATTTTCTAGAAAATTATTGTTTGGAGCTTTTCACTGTTTCATTTAAGGAATTAGTCCATGCCTTCACATTTTGATTTCTTATTTGATGGAATATAGGTACAGTACATATTTTTCATTCCAATATTAAGTAATGCAATTTCTTTAATGTTGCCCTTCTGAACTACAGTTTGTCATATTTTCCAGTCTATTTTGATAAATGCATTATCAACACTGGCCACCATCATGTGAAGCTCATAAGCCAGGCTTCAAAAGAATTCTGATTATTCATGAACAAGCTGTTTGCTAACATGTTACTAGTTCTTCCCCAAAAGCTGCAAGCATTGTAAAGTAAAAAATATTTCACTATTTACCAGTTATGGAGAAAATTCCTTGTGAAACTCATCAATCTTATTATCTACTGCATGGCTTTGAAGACATGAAAGACATGTGCTCTAATATAATCCTTCACGCTTCTTTAAACAGCATTGAGACATCATATAAGAAACATTTGACATCACATTTGATAGCCTTTGAGGACACTCTCTAAACTGAAATATTCACATTACAGTTGCTTCACAAAGATAACCAAATTAAGCAGCAGCCAAATCCCACTGCCGCTTTATAATTCTGCTTCCATATTTAATATGTAATAATCTCATTGAGCTTGTCTTTACAAAAGGCAGGGCCAAATATCTATGAAAAAGGATGAAGACTGCAATGCAGCAGACAAAGGTGGATAACTGTATCCATGGTAAGAAAAGTGGGCTTATTATGTAACAAACAAGGTTGGGGGTTATAGCCATGGTGAGAAGATAATGTTATCAGGAAAGAGCTTATCATGTAGCAAGCATAGGGATCTGGGCTTTCTACTGAAGATCAAAAAGAGCCCAACCTCTTCTAAAAGAGGGGAACAACGCCCAGTTAATGTTTGTACCAAAGATCAAGATAAATGATAGAACATCAAAGAGAATGATGCTGCTGTTCATCAGACTATTCCTTACTTTGATTCCATCTGTGCTAGCTCAGAACCCTGGAGTCTTCCACATCAGGCCAGAAAAAGGAGGTGATTACTGTTTCCTTTTCCCTTCTCAATGGATAAAATCATATCAGGGAGACAACAAGAAACACTGGTTTGACCTTGAGTCATTTACTCAGAACTTCACCTATTCAGCCATGTGTTGCTTGCCTTCATTCTTCGGGGAAGACGACAATGATGGTGGTGGATTTAGTACAAGAATTGCATCTATCAGACAGGGAAATTGCAATCTCTTTCAGAATGCAAGAGTCCATCGGATTAATAGCACAGAGGGGTTTCTGATTCTTGGCGGAGACGCTCCATATCCAATGAAAAGCTTGAGATCTGGATACAATTGGGGCCACTGTGAAGAGATTACTCTCCCAGGATTTATGCTCAGTGATGTGGATATTCTTTATTTAGTATTCAAAAATCTGATTAGAAATTTGTTGTACAAAACTGGGATCATCTACTTGATGGCAATGGGCATAGTCACCATAGGAAGCTACTGGGCAGGAAGCACGGAGAAGAAAAAACAAGACAGTATAAAAAATCAGGACCAAACACAAGATTTTGATGAGATAACAATTGATACCAATATCTGCTTCACATGTACCTGTATGGTTATGGGCACCCTCATGCTTCTTTCTCTCTACTGCTTCTATGATTATATGATGCATGCAATGATTGGCATTTTCTGTATCTATGCATCTTTTAGCCTATACTGGTGTTTGACTCCATTTGTGAACAAACTCCCGTTTGGAGAACATTTAGTCCATTTTCCATATTTCCATAAAGATCTGGAAATCAGAGCACTGCTTCTAGCAATGCTGTGTTTGTCTGTCAATGCAACCTGGATTATTTTCCGAAATGAAAATTGGTGGAGCTGGGTTTTGCAAGATGTTTTAGGCATTTCAATTGGCATTTACCTTCTGAGAACAGTTCACATGCCTACCTTAAAGAACTGCAGCTTGTTTCTGTTCACTCATTTGTTTTATGATATACTTTGCCTGTTAGTCACACCTTTTCTAAACAAAACAGGTAGAGACATGACGATTTTTGGGCCATCTAACTCAGACGAGATCCCTTTTCTGTTGAAAGTACCAATATTACCATCAACATCTTTTCTGGATAATGCTTCATTTACTGCTATAGGCCTTGGAGATGTTGTACTTCCTGGTTTCTTGGTAGCCTATTGCCACAGATTTGATGTTCAAGTTGAGTCTCCAGGGATCTATTTCCTAGCTTCTATTCTGGCATACAGCTATGGTCTGTTGGTGACTTTTGTGGTAACAACATTCCTACAGGCAAGTCAGTCAACTCTTCTATATTTAGTGCCTTGTATACTCATCACTACACTGACTGTTGCTGCTTTTCGCAAAGAAATAGTACTGTTTTGGACAGGTATAGACTCTGAAAATGAGATTATTCAATCTTCTTCACAAAAAATCATCAAACATTCAATTACACTGAAAAAGTCAGAGGAACAGCCCCATGGACTAAAAGAGGAAAAAGATATTATTACCGTCACATTCCACCTAGAAGAGCTTAATAGTGCCAATATATTCACAAAGCAATTATTTGACCAAAAGAAACACACAGAGAAGATGTACTGCACATTAAGCCATGCATCACTTCTCAATCAACATCTGGAGTACCAAGAGCTGATTGGAGATGCTGAGCAGCAATGTCTGATTGGAAAAAACAACCTCTCACCTATACAAATTTGCAACAATCTGGATGATTCAGATTAATCAAATGCAAGTCCATTAAACTTCCTTTGGGGCAGAAATAACTACATTGTCATTTTTATTGTGAAAATCAGCAATTCTGAATCACTACACATCTATTGAAGCCACTACCAGTGTCACTAACATGACCAAGAAACAGAGCTTGAGAGAAATCCATGGCTAGAGGGCCCAGTTACACAGATAGCTGGGATAATAACAGGGTTGACTGTTACTATTGGGAGTTATCAGGAACAAAAACAATGCTTGATTCCCCCCCCCCCCGAAGCAACAATTACAGTTGGCTTCTGAGTGACATGCCAGGGCCAAACTCCAAGACAAAATGTAAACTGCATTTTACTTATGTTTACATTTAAAATTGATTGTAGCTAATATTATTATTCAGTCATATATTTAATAATTTTTGTCTTGTCTCTGGAAGTCAAGATTGCCTGTGCATCTGAACTTTCAGTCAGATACTACTGCAAAATCTGTTCTCTATTCATGATGTGGTGATCGCTATACTCGGCGTGAGTAGGAACTACACAAAGAAATGCAAGTTGTATCTTATCTTCAGCTAAAAGACTCCTATTAAGTCTATGTCCACATATAATACTATGGTCAAGTTTTACTCCATCTGTAAATACAGGCAGCAGAGTACCTATCAGTTTGATACTGAAACATGCTAAGTTACTGTTAATATTAACAGAGGGGAAAGGACAATGAAAATTTTGTTAAATTTAGTTACTCAAAGACTGTCACAGTCATCTGACAAGATTTAATTACAGCTTTTAAACCTCCCTGTATTTGAACTGCAGTGTAATTCAATACACTACTAGTTATTTTATGGAAGAATACATTTTGTAACAGAAACGTTTTTGTATCATACATAAGCTAGAATAGTGATGAGGAATCACCAGTCTGCATGCTGGTTGTAACATGCAGTGCCTCTGTACCTAGAAGGGGCATTGTCTTACCTGAATGCCTTTTCTCAGCATGATGATGTAGAATCCACCGGTGGGTAATCTCAGCCTTCCTGCTCTGGCTGTGCCTTCCCAGTTTTGACGAGGCGAAGCTTTCATGACGAAGTCCAACACAATGGCTTCCTCTAATATGACACCTGCCTAGACGGCTGTGAAGGGTGGGTGTAGATTCTACATCATCATGCTGAGAAAAGGCGTTCAGGTAAGACAACGCCCCTTCTCCAGCATGATGAGTGTAGAATCCACCGGTGGGACATACCAAAGCCGCTCATGTCCCTACCGGGGGGGGGGGAAGAGTCTAGGCTTGTGTCCCCTGAGAAGAAACTACTTGTTGTAAAACCCTTCTACCAAATGAGGCATCCGCCGCAGCAAATTTATCAAGCTTGTAATGCCTTATAAAGAAAGAGGGAGAAGACCAAGTTGCTGCCCTACAGATCTCCTCAACGGAAGCCTGGGTAGACCAGGCCCCTGACGTGACCGCACTACGTGTGGAGTGAGTGGTGATGTGTGTAGGAACCACGAGAGACTGTGACTGATAGGCGCGAGCAATACATGCTCTAACCCGGGGCTTTTCAACCAGTGGTACACGTACCACTAGTGGTATGTGACCACCTGGCTGGTGGTACGCGGCATTGCCTTCCTCCCCCCCGCCACCCCCCCAGGGCGTCGCCCTCCTCCCCCCCTCCTTCACAGCTCCCTTGCTTGTTGCAATTGAAAACAAGCTGCTTGGCGACGGCCTGCAGGAACCCTACTGAGGGCGCGCGAAGAGCGCAGGCGCAGAGCAAGGCCCCACCCTCCCCAGGGACTCCTTGTGCAGGATCCGTGTCGCCCTTCCCCCCTCTTCTTACTTCAGAAGTAAGTGCGAGCCTGAAGGGAGCAGATCATCCACTCGCAGGTAGGTGCTTGAGACCTCTCGCGTCGTGGCCCTGAGCCTCCTCCTTCTTTTTCCCCTTCTCTCTCTCTCTCTCTCTCTCTCTCTCTCTCTCTCTCTCTCTCTCTGTTGTGGCCTCACTTTCTTCCATTTTCTTTTCCTCTTCCCCCCCCTCCCGCGAGCTTGTGATACCCCTCATGGCCCTTACGTTGCCTCCCCAAGTTCGAGTCTTTTCTCCCTCTCCTCTTCCTGAGGTGCCCGGCTTTACGGAGGGGAAAGCAAAGCGTTCAGACGGCATATGCCCTCCCAGAGGACTCATTGTAGCCATCAGCATGTGGGTGTGGAGGGAAAAATGCGCCCGCCTGACTCCCCCCCCGCGTGTTTCACACCAAGTAAGCCTTCGCCATCTCCATCACGGCCAGCTGGCCCGCCTACTAGTTTCCCCTTTTGGGCCAGGAGAAGCGCAAAGAGTTGCCTTTATCGCAGGCTTAAAGTTTTTTTAACTCGCAGCTTTTAGGAGCAATGTAAAGGCAATCGCATGCACGGGGCAAGTTGCTGGAAGTACTTGGCTGGGGGATAGAGGAAGAGAACGAGGCTCTGGCAAGTCTTGTGCTGTGTGTGTGTGTGTGTGTGTGTGTGTGTGAGAGAGAGAGAGAGAGAGAGAGAGAGAGAGAGAGAGAGAGAGAGAGAGAGAGAGAGAGAGAGAGAATCACAAACTCCTTTCCAGCTCACAGAAAACGAGTGAGCAAGATTGCTGGGGCCGGGATAAACAGGCAGGCGTCCCCTGCCTGCTTTGCATGGGGAGAAGAGGCTGGAGAAGGTGGATGGCTATAATAATTTCTCAGAAAGTTGCTGGAATATTTGGCTGGGGGTGGGGGAGGAGAACGAGGCTCTGGCAAGTCTTGTGCTTTGTGGGTGAGGGTGTGTGTGTGTGTGTGTGTGTGTGTGTGTGTGTGTGTGTATGTATGTATGTATGTATGTATGTATGTATGAATGTGTATATGTGTCGTTTGGGTGTGCTCAGAAACACAAGGAAACAACCAAGTTCAGAGAGCACCAAGGACCCCTCATGTCAACCCTGATCTATAAATATTCTCCTTTATCAGTTGAATCAAAGTGTTATTCTTTTCAATATTTCTCAACTTTACTGCATCCTTCTGGGTTGCATTATCATTATCATCATCTTAACTTTATTGCAGTCATTAACCAGAACAAAAGAATTGGCATTCAAATACTCAGAATATCCAAAAGTAAAGTGAGAAATTCAGGATGGTTAAAAGTACTTTCAGACAAACATTCTGGCTAAAAAACAGTATCAAATCAGAATTTGTTAAAAGGGATTATCATACTACAGATATAAAACAAGATGAAATTTAAATAAGCAATCTGGATAATATGAACTTGGGATAGCACTGTAAAATATGAATATATGCACAAATACATATGCATATTCATATACATTCTCCCTCTCCCTTTCTCACATACACACAGACACACACACACACACACACACAGCCCGCTTATCCTGGGGCTTCTCTTAGCAAGCAGCATATTTGCCCTTCAGAGTATAAACAGTAACATGCCTATTGAAAACTTTGGTTTACCTCCTGCCCACTCACAATAGTAACAACTTTTGGGGGGGTCTTTTATGGTGGATTGTAGTTCTTACACAAAGGCTGAGATTTCTTGCACCAGAATCTTGGGATGCAGTTTTTGCAACTATTCCTGTATCAAGAGATTTAGTCATTCCTTTATATTGGACTTAACACTGCTCATCTTAATTATTACAGTAGAGACAGAGAGACAGAGAGAGAGAGAGAGAGAAAGAGAGAGAGAGGAAGACCAGCTGACCAAACACCTGACCATCAAGGTAGTGGTGCATATTAATATGGAGAAATTCCTCATACTTTCATCAGTGCAAAAGGAAAGTGATTCAGCAAAGGAACCACCACCGAAGAAATCAAAGCTGGCACCAAATTGAAAATACAATGAAGATTATTTGAAGTTTGGATTTTATTTCCTGGAAGAGAATGATCAGCAGCTTCCTGTTTGTGTTATCTGCAATGAAGTATTATCCAAGCATTCCGTGAAGCCTTCTTTGCTCCAGAGACATTTTACAACAAAACATAAAAAGCACACTGAAAAGCCAGTAGCATTTTTGTGAAGAAGAGAGATGAATTTATAAAACGCCGTGCTGCTTTCGTGAAGGCCACTGCCATCTCCAAAAAATGTCTGGAAGCATCTTACCAATTGTCCTTGATAGCAGCTAAACGAAATAAGCCTCACACAATCATGGAAGAAGTCGTGATTCCCTCTGCCATTGCAATTTCCTCAATTCTCTTTGATGGAAAAATGACTGGTGCTATTTGTAATATTCCATGTTCTGATAACACCATCCAAAGACGAATACAAGAGATGGCCACAGATGTTATTCAACAAGTGGTGGAAAAAATCACAGCAGCAGAAAAATTTGCATTTCAATTGGATGAAAGCACTGACATTGCTGGTGAGGCACAATTAATTGTCCTTGTGCGTGTTCCTGATTCAGACGACATACTGGAACACATATTATTTTGCCGCCCACTACCTGGCAGAATGACTGGGGAAGAAATATTCACAATAATTGACAATTTTTTCAGTGAAAATGGAATATTATGGACTTGGTGTGTAGGAATTTGTTCTGATGGTGCAGCAGCTCTTACTGGAAGAGCTTCAGGGATGATAGCACGAGCTAAGGCAAGAAACAGCTCCATTGTTTCAAATCATTGCATCTTGCATAGACATGCACTTGCTGCTAAACGGATGAGCCCAGTGTTACATGAGACTTTGGCGGATGCTGCAAAAATAATAAATTTCATCAAAAGCCGGCCATTGAATGGACGTTTATTCCAGCAATTATGCAAGGATTTGGATTCCGAACACAGCACTCTTCGCTTTCATACAGAAGTACGTTGGTTGTCAAGAGGGGAAACATTATCGAGATTATTCGAGCTACGAGATGAAACGCACCTGTTCCTGACAAATGTTTCATCACCCCTAGCAGAAAAGTTTAAAAATGTCTTTTGGGTATCCTGCCTTGCCTATTTGGCTGACATATTTAAAAAGCTAAATGAACTTAATCGGTCGCTGCAGGGCCATGGTCATAATGTGTTTGTTATGGAAGATAAAGTTTGTGCCTTCCACAAAAAAATCTCCCTGTGGATAGGACAAGTAGAATAAAGGAATATTGCCTCATTTCCCAATGTGTCAGACTTTATTGAACTAAATTCAATTGTTGATACTGAGGGCATTGAAACAGCCATCAAAAATCATTTGGAAAAACTGCACACAGAGTTTGAGTTGTATTTTCCATTTGTGTCAAGAGGATGCGATAGTAGAATTTGCTGGGTTGCATCACCCTTCACCATGGA